CCCAAAACAAAAACAAAAAACAAAACCAGGAAAACAGCAGTCCAAAAAAATTTTGGAATTTCCTGCAGTCAGTTTAACATCCCAAATCAGACACCCAGCTGCATTCTGGACTGGCTGCTAGGGTTTGGGCCTCCAGGTGAGCCTGGCAGGGCTGCCGTTGGTGTGCTCCTTCGGCCTGGCCTTTTTCTTGGTACTGGGACATCAGCTTGTGAAGCCACCATCAGCTCCCACAATTAATAATAATCCCTTACAACAATGTATGCTGCAGCACTCTTCCAGGTTTGCTAACAGCAGCAGCATCATTTTGTTGTGGGAATAATGTCCCAGAAAACTTCTTAAAGAAAAAGTATGTTTTCCTCCCTCAAAAACACAGCACAAAATAATGGCCAGAATAAATGCCACATTAAATAAAAGGTACTTGAATAATGATTTTCTACATATTTAAAAGCCACCCACAATGATTCCTTTTTTTTAATTGAAAAAGATTGATCCATCACAAAGCACATTGCTCATCATTTTCAGTCGAGGCCCTGTTAATGATGTTCCTTTGTTATCTCAGCTTAAGCATAATATCTACACATTGAAAAAGGATGTAGGGAAATATACCGACATGGACGTAGCGGCCCACTGTCTAGGTGCTAGAATTTGAGATGATGATATTTTTCTTTAAAGCCTTCAGTACTTTCTTAATTTTCTTCAGTGGTTGTTTTACCTGTATGCCACTAAAAAGTTGCTAAAATCAGTATACATAGTAAGTATGAACAAACAGTATTATCCCACTAATTTGAGACTACACACAAAATTTTGTAGCAGTAATTATAAGTAAGTGGTAAGATTCTGGATAACACTGTTCTTTTCTTCCCCACAAGTATATATTACTTTTGTGACTTAAAAAAAGATTAATTTCATTAAGAGAAAAAAATGGGAGTCATTCAAATACTTAATTTATGCATTTTAGAGAAAGGAAATGTAAATACTGAGGAAAAGACTGCCACCAATGTTATTAAGGTAAAGAAAATCTATTAAATGCTTTTCCCTTTAAGGCACAATTTCGATTCTTTTCTATTTAAATCTTCATTTCTTTAGGTATAAAAATATACCTATTGTTAAATTTGAGTTCTTAAAATTGGCTCTGTGAGACGGTACCTGTCTTATGGTTTAAATTTTATTCCTTAGGACTTCACTGAAATATGTTGCTAAAATGCTCATACTCCCGCAGCGTGGCCAGATGTGTCAGTCAAATACTTTAAATAGATTTGATTGAAGGTTTGGAAAGACTTCCTGTTCCATTGTATTTAAAGGTGCTGATGTTGAATGTTTTCATTTTTCTTTTTCCTGCTCGCTAGTCAATTTATCTTTGGTTTGTTAGTCCTTACAATTTTTGGTCTTACAATCTCTCTACATCTGAGGAGGACTTAACAATTTCATAATGATGGTATAAACAACAAATACATTCTCATAGACACTTTACTCCAATCTCAAGCATTTGCATTGCAAATGCAACATGATCCATGTTATTTTAGTTGCAAGATTCTATTAAAATTGACACAGACAACTTAGGATCGCTTAGTGGCTCTCTAAGAGACATATTGCAAACATAAGAACTGTTTGTGACAGCAGAAGAGACAGAGCTCTGAAATTCACACAGCTGCATCAGCCCCCTGCATCTGTACACACAACGACATAACAGTGGTTCTCACCCAACCATACTGTTTTTTCTCCAGGTTACAACTTCCCAAGTCCTCCTCTGAACTCATTTTCTTGCACCTAAATGAAATGCAGCAGAGTGATAAAGGGAGAAGGAAAAACTGCCAAGAAATGCCCCTGAGCATAGAAAGCAAGTTTTCAAACTGACTTTGTTTCAAAGGCCTGGGTCGGCCCTTGGAAGACTAACTAGTACGTTTGCATCTGTTGAGGACACTGTGTTACTTAACCGTTGTAGGTAAATGCTAGTTTGAAAATGGATTACCAAAACCCAAACTAAGCCTCTCTTGTTCAACAGAGCAGGAGGTAAGGAAAATATTTGAGAGAGAGAATCGGTTTCAGGAAATCTTTCTCTAGTAACCTTGAGAAGAAAAGAGGATGGTAATGGTAGGTAGGGCAGATAACAATTCCAGATTAGACATTGTTTCATAATTGTGAACAGAAAGGCAAAAATAATGCCTGATGCAGAATGATTTCCTGGAGCTGCCTCCAGGGCCACAGTATCTCCTCAATGGCTTATTTACACATTAGATAGAGACGCCTTGGAGAGAGAGCATATTGGAAATATACCATGATTACCAAATCATCCCACCCGCAGATCTGTCCACTCTCTTAAATAGATGTGATCAGAATTTGGTGAGATAATAAACAATCTTCAGCTCAGAATATATGACTCTCTACAGTGATTTACACCACAGGAGCAGGGAAAAATTCTCTCTCCCCTCTTTGCTTCTGTTGGCCGGGACAGGGCAGAATGGACGGCTATGTCCAAGTTCTGGCACAAGTAAGGAGCTGTAAATCTGAATTTCTCAAAAGTGTTATGAAACAATGTTGGAATTGCTTGAATTGCTCACAGAGAGAAGGAAAATTCCTTCTTTCTTCTCTTGAGGTTGAAGTTCATTCAGCTTTCCGGTTTCATACTGAAAGTGCAGCCTGCCTCTGCTGACACACAAGTCTCGAATTTGCCCCCGGCCTCGTGTGTAACAGGGCTCCTTATCAGTTTTGCCAAGCCCTTCACAAACATGGAAATAAGGTAATTTATAGTCCAGATATTATGAAAACAGAAGGCCTAACACTGTGCTAGCAACTGTTGCCTAAACCTACAATGCCTGTACACTCCAGATTTAATACTCAAGTTTCCACATAATAACCTCATTGATGAGAATGAGCCTATAAGAAATAGCCTACTATCCACTTGACTGTATTTGAAAATTTCCTTTTTTGTGCAGATAGTTTAATCTTTATTAATATTAATAACATCTAAAAACATCATTTCCTGATTTGGAGAATAAAGAAACACTATTGTTTTCAAAGAGAAAATTATTTGAGAGAAAACTTATTTGGGAATATATTTAAAGAGTAAGGTTGATATGGAAACTGAATGATATATAGACTTCCATGCTTATAAAAAGGAAAAATGTGGTTTTTCATATGGAAACTTATTTTTTAATAATTTAACAAAGAAACAGGATAAAGTCTTAATAAAATTTACTTCTACTTTTTCAATAAACATTTGCTTTCCATGGGTATGAAAAAATTGACTACACATTTTCTTGGTGAGAAATAACCTACTCTGGCTGGTGTGTCTCAGTGGATTGAATGCCAGCCTGCAAACCAAATGTCGCTAGTTTGATTCCCATTCAGGGCACAGGCCTGGGTTGCATGCCAGGTCCCCAGTAGGGGGTGCACAAGAGGCAATCACACATTGATGTTTCCCTCCCTTTCCCTCTCTATAAATAAATAAATAAATAAACCATCTAAATTATATCCTCATGAGTATTAGTAATGGAAACAGTAGTACAAAGTAGAAGATTAAACCTTAGTGCAGAATTCCTGCAGGTTCTAGCCATTTGTATTCCTTACATATTGAATATATTGAAACACATGGAATATTTCAAAACTGAAGAAGTGGAAAGAGAAGCTAAGTTTCTGCAAACGTGTTGATAAAAACAGAGAAAAATAAAATGATCACTTATGCTTTCTAAATTTCTGTGGCTCTTTCAGGACCTGACTGTTTTGCAAGTTGGAAATGATGCAATTTCTATTGCATGAAGATGAACATATCTACTGAGATTTAAAAGGTAAAATGCAACAAAAGAGAGGGAAGTCCAGTGCTCTTTTGAAGGACAGCACTTTCACATGACCCCTCCACGGAGAAACAGGCCACTGTTGATGGTGCACACAATGGGGCATCATTCAGTGAAAGGAGAAATTCACAGGCTCACAGAAAACCATCTCAAAGTGGGATGGTTTGGTTTTACTAGTATATCCACAGAATTGGTCCAAATAAAAATAGCTCTTTCTGTCTTCCTTTTGTTTAGGAACTTGAGTGACTGCTTAATCAAGGCCCTTGCTGTCCTCCTTTTACAGTGCAGTCTAATGAAAAAAGATTTCCTCATGTGGAATCTAAAAAAAATATAAACCAACAAACAAAATAGAAACAGACTCATAGATACAGAGAACATTTTGATGGTTGCAAGATGGTAGAGGGGTTGAGGAACTGGGTGAAAAAGGCGAAGGGATTAAAAAGTACAAAATGGTAGTCACAGAACAGTAATGGGGGTGTAATGTACACTATAGGGAAAACAGTCCATACTATTGTAATAACTATGTATGGTGCCAGGTTGGCATTTGAAATATTGGGGGACCACTTTGTAAAGTATATGATTATCTAACCACTATACTGTATACCTGAAACTAATACAAAATAATATTGAATGTAAACTATAGTTGAAAAATAAAATAAAATAGCCCTAGCTGGTGTGTCTCAGTGGATTGAGTGCCCATCTGTGAACCAAAGGGTCCCCGGTTTGATTCCCAGTCAGGGCACATGCCTGGGAATCAAACCGGGATGGGTTTGCAGGCTGGGTCCTCAGCTGGGGGCTCATGAAATGCAACCACACATTGATGTTTCTCTCCCTTTCTCCCTCTCTAAAAATAAATAAATGAAATCTTTCTAAAAAATTAAAAAAAAAACAAAAATGTTTCCTTTTCCACTGCAGCATTTGGTTTTCCCTTTTCAATCTGCCATGTTCATAACAAAACATTTAAGATTCACCCATTCCTACATGAAAAATACCCTGAATTCTATTGATAAATAGGTGTTCTTTCCAGGAGCACTTTAATTTTTATTTATTTTTTAATGATTTCCACTAACATTCTTGAATCAAACCTTAGTTAAAAATAAATTTGCCAATATTCCAGTAGGAGCTCTTTGCTACCTCCTTATTTGTTTTAAGTCAGAATTCTCAATTTAAAAGCAAGAGAAAATAAAAATCCAGTATTGTGTAAATTACCTCATCTTCTTTCTTTTCTCCGGACCTGGAAGGAGAGCCACTGTTTTTTTCATGGGCATGCTATTAAAAAAAGAAAAAAGATAATGTTTAATAGAGGGAGGTGATATAAGATAATATAATAGTGACTTCAATCCCAAAGGGCTAAATATATAGGCTGCTAAGAACAAGGACCCCTTTAATCTTCCTCCTGAGAATGTTGATAATTCTACACCCACTGACGTGGGTGGCTTTCAAAAATCAAGGGGAACTACAGACACACATTTGGAATGTAGAAAGTCAGTCAGTCTGTAATTAACCAGGCACAGATCTGATTGTGATGCCTAGGTGGCATATCATCTCCTACAAAATGCCTCGTGGAATTTTAAAGTCCATATTGCCAGCATGGGAGACGTCTGGTTCCTTACGGAGATGAGATGTCTGAAACCACATTGATAGTAAAGCTCTACTTAAGCCTCAGTTCAGCATGGAAAAGAGAGAGGACCACAGCTTCCAAGTGAACTATCACTTCTGATGGCCCTTGGGAATTCCTACAGTTCTTCTAAGTATTCACCAATGCAGAAAGATAAACCCTGAGTGGAAAGAACATACTTGCAACTTCCATTTATTATGGCTTTAGAATTTCACGATGTCCAGGAACAGAATGACTTTTCTCACTAGGACACTGGTGATGAATGCAAGTATCTGTATGTGGTTCCTAAAAGCTTCAAGCAGCTTACATGTTCATTTGTTTTGATGGTAAGGTAAAATAAGCCTTAGAGTTTATTGATTTTTTTTTTTGAAAAATGAAGAAAGAAAATTTGTATGTTCTCAAAAAGAGAGTATGAAGAATTATTTCTGGGTTTGTTTTTTTTTGCACATTGTGACATATGCAAAAAAGTGGGTAAAGGAAGCCTAAATATAAAAAGTAAAAGTTCATTATTTGGTCCAATCCCAATAGCCTTCAGTTAAACCAAAAGATAAAATTACATTACATTCCCTAGAGCAGAATCATAAGCTGGATATGTAGGTAACTGAAACTATTCAAATTAAGAAGAGTGGCAATAATAGTAATAATTTATATTACTGTTACTTACAAGGCACTTTCATATACATTCTTATTTGACAATAAAAGTGATTAATGTTATTTTGTGGACTAAAAAAACTAAGAGTCATTTGGTGTACTTTTCACAAGGACTTAAACCTAGTAAATGGGAAAAGTTTACAAAGCAAGTTCTTCTGATTTAAAATCTGGTGATTGAAAAAAAATCTGGTGTTTGTCACTACCCCATGCTAAATGGAATGACAGTCCCTTTAATGATGTCAACAGATATTTTAGTTTAAAAAAAAAGGCCAAGGAATATCAGACACATGGCTGAAATCTTTCAATAGTCTTCTTGAATAAAAAGCTAGGAAGAAGTCACTTTCATGAATGGAAAGTCCTGCCCCAAATGAAAAGTTTGTCATGAGCTGGTGGGCTGCTGCCATAGCTGGGTGAATGAAGCCCTCTGCGGGCTTGTTTTACCTGCGTGGCCTAGTCAAGCACTCATTTGTCCATGGTTGAGAGCAATCAGTACTGAGTAGTTAATGAATCTTGGTGGGGGAACACTTAAAAGCCCACATATATATCAGAGCAAGGTATGAATTGACACGTTTTAGTATAATTGGTAAGCAAAAGATTCCTAAAGGCCAGACTAAGCACAAAAATTAGTAGTCAACATTAGGAGGTAGAATTTGAGAGGACAGATCTGCAATAATAGAGATTTACCCAACCTGTCTTCTTCCAGAACTGGTAATTTAGAACATGATACCACATTCATTTATACTCTCTAATTCCATATCTTTGTCAGGTTAGATATAGGTAATAACACTACAACATGGTGTTACTGAGCTTACTGTTTAGAGTGCCTCATTTACATGCCAGGGGCATTAATCTCATTCCATTTTACAAATGAATAAACTTAGAGAGGGAGTTTGCTCTTGTCTGGTACAAGGTTTCCTATTCTCCTCAAGGTCTCACTCTACTTTGTGTGGCAAATGTGTATTATGATTTATCACCCTACAGTAAATGTGCAGTCTTTCTCTCTAAAATATTTATTTTTGTTTAGAGAGTTTTAAAAAGTTTTTTCCTGATTGTGTTGCAAAATTGCAGTCCTACAGATTAACCAACAGTATCAGTTATTTGCTTACACTGAAATGCTCAAAATCCCTCAAAATTATGTTGGTTCCAAATAATAGTTTGGAAGGGATACACATACATACACATACACACATATATATATAAAATAACTGTTTTTTAAATGTTGAGTAACAATGACAACTTATCAAAATTATGTATGTTAAGAATTGGTATTCTGTCATTTCAAAAGAAATATTTGCTCTCAATAGGAAGCTTTTTTACTTTTACTCAACTTTTACTTTTACTTTATACTTTTACCCAAAAGTATAATAACATTAGTAAAAATCACATAAACAATTGGCAGAAAATTTTAGGAGCTGTATGGATTGTACTTTTCCATCTTCTATCTTTTTCACACAGATTTTTATTATATAATTTTTCTAACATATAAAAGTTGAAAGATAATACATTGAATGCCAATATTCCCACCACTTAGATACAATAACTAATAACATTATTGCCATATTTTGCCCTACTTTCATACATTATAGACAAATGCATAGATCTATCTAGCTACATTTGTTTACGTACCTGCATTTGGAAGTAAATTGGAAATATTCTGAAACTTCACCCCTAAATATTTCACCAAGCACCTCTTTAAATCAAGAGTTTTTTCCTATATAACACCGTTATCATTCTAAGAGAATTAAAAAGAATTACTAATGCCATTCAGTTTCCAGTAAATAGCAATTTTATAAATGAACCATTGCCCTGACCATTTCCTGGGACTTATTCAATACTCAGCACTACATTAATGGTGTAAAATTAGTTACATCTTTTCATTGAGAGAGGTTCAAACTGCCTGATATTTTAATTCATGGAATAATTGAGAACTTTTGACATAACTGAGATGATGAAATGAAATATTTGGGAAGGATATGTGTCAAATTTGATCCAGCTTAGGAACCTGCAGTAAGACTTTTATAAAAGCAAAGAGAAAAAACTTTGTCTACTTCTCTGCGAGGCTGATGAGGTGGGGAGAGGTGAGAGGCACAAGAAGAAAAGGACGGATAGGTCAGGAAAGAGAACCGAACCACAAACCGGATAAAGCCAAGGAGTTTTCTAAAGAAGGAAAAACTAACACATTCTTTACACATCTGCTCTGTGCTACGGCGGATGCTAGGCATCTCCCCTGTGTGGTCACCTTCACACCCCATGGCAATCGTAGGGGCACACACTGTCACCTTGTTCTATGGATAAAGAAACAGAGGATCTGAAAGGTGAGATCTTCCTCAGTCACACCACACATCAGGATTATAGTCCATCGCCACAGAGTGGGCTATGCTGGAACTAGTTAAAAGCTGCCTGAGATGTTGAGATTCACATCAAGAAAGTCTCAGTCCAATGCTCTAAAATGAAAACCACCACGACCAACAAAAAAAAGCAATAAAAGCAAAAAAACCCCAAAAACCTTTCTATTCTAAAAATGGTTTGTTTCGTAAAATTAATCATACACACAATACCTATGTGTCATCCTGTATTAGTAGCTAAAGACCAACGTAGAGACAGGAAGAGCAGGAGGCCACCCTTAATAAGCAGGAAAAGTTGCACTGTGAAAACAAGGCCACAGATGCCTCGAAGCTAAGATAAAGGATAGAGACAGGATGTGTGACAGGAGTTCAGAGGTGGGGGAAACAAATCAGGTAAAGGGCTTTCCATTCCTCCCTCAAAAAGGAATAATTTTCCATCCTGACCGGTATGGCTCAGTTGGCTGGACATCATCCTGCAAAGCGAAAGGTCACTAGTTCGATTCCTGGGCAGGGCACATGCCTGGGTTGTGGGCCAGGTCCCTATTTGGGGTCGGGCTGCATGTGAGAGGCAACCACTTAATGATTCTCTCACACATCATAGTTTCTCTTTCTCCCTCTCCTCCCCTCTCTAAAAATAAATATATAAAACCTTTTTTTTTTTTTAAAGGAATAATTTTCCAAACTATTTCCAGCCCCTGACATCACCACATATTTGGCAAGTACTGCTGTTTTTGTCCTCGTTCTAGGCGATAGCATTTTTAGGCTAAAGTTTTCTACCACAGCAAACCTAAACCTGTCAGGATATCAACAAGAGCCAGGAACAATAAGGCCTGGAGCCTGTGCTCTCAACCAGCTAAGGAGGTCCAGCATTTCGGCCCCTCCCAGTTGTTACCCAGATACACCCTGATACCTGCACAGACAGGGTATACTTTGCAGAAGATAAGTTAAAATCAACAAACTTCTACACACGTAAAAGAGGAAAGAAGCAGAAACAATATGAAAGAGGACTCAATGCTAGTGTGCTTCTGAAATGTATTTGCTTTATTAAAAAATTACTTGGCTTCTTTTTGGGGGGTGACATAAACATTCTAAAATTAAATTGAGGTGATGCTTGCACCACCCTGTGAATATATTAAAAATATTAAATTACATGTGAATTTATGATTTGTGAATGATACACGCACACAAAGTGTTGTTTAAAAAAACAGTAAAGATTATTGAAAACAACTTGAAAATTTTCCTGCTTCAACTTGAAGACAATGCTGATCAGTATTTGCACATCCAGCCACAACTGTCCCAAAACCATGAGACGATAAAGTTATCTTGGTGCCCTCTGGACTTTCTCAGGTCACAGAGCCCAGCACTCCCGAGCACCACCATTGCACCTGCTGAGAAGTACTTGTTCTGGGACCCCCTAAGCATCTTATTGCCTTCGGTCAGCAGGGGGTCTCACTCTTTAGAAAGGGCCACAATACCCGGGGCCCGTTTGGAAACACTCACGCTAGAGCCAGGGATTCGGAGTTAGTTTGTTTAGGGCAGGGCCTGGGCGCGGACACATTTTTCTAAAATTCCCCAACTGATCCTAATACGCAGCTAGGATTGGAAATCACTGGTTTTGAGGGGAGATTTGTGGCACTGTGACAGGAAATGGAGGT